CTCTAAAATTCACAGTTGAAAAGTCTAATATCAGATACCCAAATGGGCCCTCAGACAGAGTTAGATCTAATTATTTAGATCTAAAATATGTATCTGGAAACCCAGAGGAGCTTTCCATAGTTTCCATAGAACTGAATTTCTTGCTCACTCCTTCCTCCTTTCATTTAACTATTTGATTTGTCAGAAAAATAGTTTATGTTGAAATGCTAACTGTTAATTCATAGGAGGATAAGAGTGGTTGTTCCGGATCAAACCCCAGATATATCTAATCCAATTCTGAAGTCCAGTTTGAGAAAAGCCAGCAGCAGAGTCTTTGAAAAGAAACCCAGAACAGGAGACAGACACGGGACAGTCACCAGTCCCGTGTTTGCATCCGGCTGATTTCTAGGAACTGTGCAGCCTTGTTTCCCAACAAAAGCAAGACGCCAGGTGAAACTGAAAACTTGATCTCTCTGAATAAATCATGAGAGATGGAGAAAACACTGCTCACTGTCAACTGTTCTCTTCAGTTTATACTTCCATAATTCCTCTACCACTTATTTTTGACTTGCCTTCTTTCTCAACAGTGCGAAGTTGTGGACTTCTAAAAATACTTTAGTTCCTCTGAGGTGTTTTCACACCCCAAATTACATGAAAACCACAGAAGAACAGAACTACAGAAGAACATAAGGTCTTAACTTATAGATGGTTAAGCTATACGTTGTTTTTTGGTTTTTTTTTGTTTGTTTTTTAAAAAATTCCATACCAATCATTGTTGTTTGTCCAAAACAAATTAACAAAATATCCAAACAGCACTCAGCATTGCCAAATACAGAACCAGGAATATATCATTAAGCATCAACGTCAAATCAGTTCATCTCTGATATTTATGGCCCTCAAATCTAGGCTCTTGGATAAAAAGTCATTTCATGCATATCTACATCTGCAGAGGTTCCAAAGTCATCCTTACCACTGAAGTCTGTAGGGTTCTAAGATAAATGGGTAGAAATATTTTTTTATATAAATGGGTAGAAATATTTAAATTATTAACAGCTTCAGGCAAAAATATGATTCTGCTCATCACTTTCTCTACAGACGTAAAAGAGAGTAACATTTTTACTGCAATGGTTTTATTTAATTTTCTCATTTTCATCTAAGGATATAGATGTTCACAAATACCAGCTGGACAACTGAATAGCAGAATCCAACAGGGTGAGTACAATACAAGCATCAGCACAGCCTCCTCCTTAGTACCTACATTTCTCAATGTAAGAGAGATCCCTACGAGTAAAATATTTTATGATTCTATTCTATGATTCCGTGTCTTTAGAGGGACGTTCAGCCTCTACACTCAGTCCTGGTCTCCTTATTATGACAGGAAAATTTGGAATGCTATATGAAGAAAGACCACTTATCCGTGACAGATTGCTCTTCTGTAAAAATAAATATCTGAACAAATATAAGGCAACATCTTTGAACTGATGAAGAACTCAAGGTCATTAGTAATCTGCCTCAGATTTTAATATGAGAATCAAAAGGTTTTATTTACGTACTTTGAGATACCCAATTTCATCAAGCATAATAATTGTGAAAATAGAGGCTATATGAATTTTCAAAATGGCACTTGACATTATTTCATACCTTATTTTTTTGTAGGATGAAGAAAATAAATATGTATGCCTTTCAGAAGGAAGCATAAAACAAACAAACAAACAACAACAACAACAACAAAACTTACATAAACCTAGGAAGATATAGTGACATCTGGTAACTGAGAAAGCACACAACTCTTTCACCCTTTCACAGTTCACTGATAGCCATGAAGCATGATGAACTCTGCAAGTCCTACAGTTTACTTCAGAAATTGATGGTCTGGTGACAGATAATAGCAGGTACAGTTTGCAAGAAGCCAGTGTATAAAAATCCTTTCTGGTTTATGTGTACGTGGAAACATACGTGCATACTTAGTGCTGGATACTGTTAATCCATTAACTGATGCTACTTCTATCTCAAAAAGTCATGTTTTATACAATGTTCATGGTTTAGTTGCTCTTATCTTTATCTTTAGGATTGAGAGTAGTTGCTCAATTCAATGTGTTCTGGCAACCAGAAAACAAGCCTACAACACAGGGTGAAATCTTGTACAATAATGCAACTTATTTGTAACTAGATGTCATGGTCAACTAACTAAAATTTAGATGAACATGCAAGCACTCAACCTACACTGTTAACTGAGGCTTATATTTCAAGCAATTCAATTTCAGACTGCAGCGATACATGTCCTACACAGCTCCATGGCCTTGCCTACCTACAGGGTTTTTCTTAGCTGTAAAATCTAGCTCTTGGCACGGTCATAACTTGTTTTCGAACTTACCACTCCATTAAGATGAATGAGTAAGTTCACTTCTCTGTCAATAGTATTGTTTCTGTCTGCCTTGCTACAGATACTGTAAGGCACCATGCATTGATTTACGGGGTAAAGAAAGACAACCTAAGAGTCTTGGAACTATATAAAAATATCCTTCTGTTTGAGGAAAGCAAACAAAACGATAAATGCCAACATAATAACAGTAATTTATAAGACTGGAGTATATTAATTCTCTGAAAATCCCTCTTTAATAACAGAAAATTCACCATTAAGGATGAAGAGGAAGGGCTCTCTGGTTACCAAGTTGGATTAATAAATGTATTCCCCTTCCACATTTTTCCCCAACCTGACAACCCAATGAAAACATTCCTTTGGAAGTTTGCATTAATGCTGATATGCTTGTAAATACAAAATAGAAGACCAAATATTTTAGATAGTAAAGTTAAGTTATAATTATGATGATAATTAATGAAAAACCAACAACAAGTATTGCAACGGTGCTTCCAAGATGTATACTCTGAAATATCACCTTATGAAAATATAAGATTTATTTTTTTTTCCTCAGCTAACTACACAAGATTCAAAAAAAAAAAAAAAAGAAATCTTTGTAGCTGGGATACCAAACATAAGTAACTGGTACTTTAAACTTATCCATTTAAGTGTTTACACAATATGCAACTGCTTTATTGTACTCATTTTCTTTTATTCAATTCATGTTTTTAGAGAAAATCATCATTAAAAGTAGACTTTTTTGGCTAACATTTTATTATTCGGGTGGTGTGGGTGTTCTGAATCACCTGTATTAATTCAGCAAATTTAAATTTCACATGTGTTTGGATGAGTTAGATTAATCATTTGATTTCTATGGTACACTGGCAATACCAAATATATTAGAAGTTCCTCCTTTTATTAGAAGTTTTGAATCGAAGTGCAGAAAGAGAAGTTAACTCAGAAGTTAAGAAATTCATCAGCATTATATGCAGCCAATACCTCATTACCCAAACATGTTGAGAAAAGTTATGTCAATATCAAAAAAACAAAACACATCATCCTTGAAAGCCTTTTCTTTGGGCTAAGCTGTTTTGGTAACTTTTCCCCATTTTTAACTAGTTTTTGAAACATTATTTAACTATCACTAATTTAATCCCAGGAATATCAAATACTAGTTCAGAAACTTACTTTAAAATGACCTAATCTAACTTGCATTACTTAATACAAATTCTTTACCTTTGATGCATAGAATGTGCCATGGTTATTCTATCACACATGTGAATAAGTTTTTTTAGACAGCATTTATGTCTTGTAAGGCCTTGCAGTAACATAAAGGCATTAGCATGCGCTAATGAATGGGACATAAAAAGAAAACCGTGTCGTGCTGCTGTGAAAATCTGATGTCTTCTAAGACAAGAGTAAGGGCAAACTGTAACACAGCACTGATCTGGCTATATGTTATCCAACTGCAAGCTGAAATTATACATCACATTCAGTACAGAAGAGGCAAAGGAATAATATCACTTGGAATGTCACTACCACGCCTGACTCTGATTCTTCAAGGCATTTGTGGCCAAACTATCACATTTTCCTACTTTCCTGATATTTTATGCTCTCTTTTTACTGTTAGCCATGTACGTACAATGAACACTGAAAATGGACTGTAAAACAGAAGTGTGAAAATATATGAGCTACACATTTGGTAGTGCTCCACAACTAAAACCAGTTTGTTTTCTCATTACTTTCCACAATAGTCATTTTCAGCACTCCTTTCAACAGTAACAGGTACAATAATTTCTACCAGAAGCGACGTTCGGAGCTGCCCTTCAGCTCCCATATTTTCACTCACATCACACTAAAACCCTATATCAGGAAAGCTAAATTGTACAAAAAAAAATAAAAATAAAAAAATAAAAAATAAAAAAAGGAAAGACTGACTTTAGGAAGAGATGCACCCTACATTCTCCCCAACTAAGTAGAGAGATGTGCATTAAATAAGCAGTTAAGGAAACGCTCTGCTCTCTCTACCCAGATGTTCAGAACGTATAACACGATGTTTCATGATCAGTTACCGTGTGTTTTTTTTTCCCAGTTCTATCTAACAAAATTTGATACCGTCTGAATGTGCGATGCAGCCTTATCCTTACTTCTCTAAGTAGGGTGATTCATTTTTTAAGCCACGGGCGTTTTCCTTCAACACAAGCAACGTGACAACGTGGGCAATTAAACTACCGTCTTCAGGAGGACCTGAGGAGCATGCACCTGTGCCAAAGCCTTTAGAGGGGATTTTTTCGGGCCGTGGGACAAAAGCCCGCAGCGCTGAGGTGCTGAGGGCAGCCACGCATCCCTGAGCAGCGGACGAGCCGCAACCTCCTTTAACAGGCGTTAAGCTCCCCGAAACCCGCTCGGAGGGCGCTTCGCTCCCGGCAGGAGTCGCGCAGACCCTAAAAATTACACCATTTCACGTCTACAAACGCTACCGCTCCCTGTCAGCGGGAGGAAACTTCGCGGCCGGGGCAAGCAGAGCCGCTCGGCCGGAGCCCCCCGCGGGTCCGGCGGAGCCCCCCGGAGTGGCAGAGCCCCCCGCTTCCCTCCGGGAAGACCCCCCCCGTCCCCGTAGCCCCCTCGGGAAGTTGTCAGCGGGCCCCCCGGCGCCCCTCACCTTGGTTGGCGGCTCCGTGGCCGCCGTCGGCGGGGCGCGCAGTCAGCAGGGGGAGGAAGAGGCCGAGTCTCCAGAGCAGCCCCCTCGCCTCACGACACCCCATGGCTGGTCCCCGCCGGGCTCCCCTCGTCCTCGGCCCGCCGAGGCGCCCTCCCCGTCCTCCTTCAGGCCAGCGGGGGACGCCGGGGGGGCCCCCCGAGCGCCCGCCGCCCCGCCGGGCTCCGGCGCATCCACCGGCGGGGTCCCGGGGCACGGCGGCGGGCGGCGGTGCCGGCAGCCCCCGTGCCGCCCTTCCGAGGGGGGCGGCGGCGCCGGGAGAGCTCCGGCAACCGGGAGAGCCCCGGCGGCAGGGAGCGAGCGAGCCCCGGCAACTTCGAGGCGGCGGCGGCGGGGGTCGCGCCCCGCTCCTCCCGGCGCCCTCAGCCCCGCAGAGGCTCCTTCGGCGGCTCCGTCCTCGGCGGCTCCTTCAGCGGCTCCGTCCTCGGCTGCCCCCTCCGCCGTCCCCGCCGCGCGGGGCCCCGCATCCCCGGCCGGAGGCAGCGCCGAGGGGCTTCAGTTTGCCATGGCGAAGGGTCCTGCCCCGCCGCCGGGGGCGGGGAGGGGAGAGAAGAGGAGAGGAGAGGAGAGAAGAAGAGGAGAGCAGAGCAGAGCAGAGGGGCCGGCCGCTCCTCACGCTCCCCGGGGCATCAGCGCAAGTTGCGCGGCGGCATCCCCGGCCGCTCCGCCGCCGTGCCCCGGCTCCCTCTGCGCCTCTCTCCCCCCGTCTCCGGCTGCCTCGGCGGAGGGGCGATCAGAGCGCGGGGCGGCTCCGCCGCTCTCTCCCGCTGCGCCTCGCCGCGGTTTTTGGGGCGCCGCTGCTCCCCCGCCGCCCGCCGAGCGATGGCGGGGCCGCCCCGCTGCGCCCAGCCCGGCCCAGCCCGGCCCGGCCCGGCCCGGCCCGGCGGCTGCCGGGTCCCCGGGAGGCCAGCGCGGCCCCCCGGCAGCCAAACGGCGCGGGGGGAGCCGTGGGAGCGGCGGCGGCCCCTCCTCAGCCGCCCTCCTGAGGGGAGCGGGAGCCCTGTGCGTGTGTGTGTGCGAGGGGAGAGGAGGAGAGGAGGCGCCCCCTCGCCTCGCCGCTGCCGGCAGCCCGCGGGTCGCATGCGGCCGGCTCGGCGCTAGAGGGGGTTAGTCGACAAGGCAAAAAAAAAAAAATAAGTACCCAAATGGGTACTGGGGGCTGCGGAGTGCAGGGGGCACAGGGGACAGCGGGGACCCCCCGGCCGCGGGCTGGCTGGAGGCTGCCTCTCGGAGCTGCCCCAAGGGAGCACACATCCCTGTGGTGGCACCCCCAGCTGCACCCCCAATATTAACTCTCTTCTTCTTTCCCCTAACTCAGATCATAGGGCTGGGGACGCCGACTCAGCCAGGAGGCCCAGGTGACTTAGGTGAGTGTCTGCCCTGAGCAGAGCTGCCTGCTGCTACCCGCAGCAGGGAACGGACACTTGGGATGGGTTCGCTACGTGCTGCACGTACAGCACACCCCAGGGGCCAGGCCATTGCGGGTCTAGTTGCTTTTCTTTTGGTTGGTTGTTTTCTTTAGTCCATACAGCATTTCGGTTTCTGGGTTTGTACAAAGACAGAAAGAAAAAAAGCAACAAGAAGGTAATCACATCCACGTCTCTGAAAACAACTTCCTAAAATCAGGTGTCTAAATCCACATGTAGGAGAGCAAAAGCTGTCTGATTCCCAAGGCTTATGAGTGTCCATAAATCCCATTGAAGTCAACGGGTAACACAGCTACAATATACTACACCAGAGGATATCAAAGTTCCTGCTGAGGTACCTAAAGAGACATTCAGAGAAGTTATATATTGAAACAATTGCTTTGTAATGCAAGAATAAAGAATTTATTTAAAAAAAAAAAAACAACAAACAAACAAATAAATAAATAAATAAAACAAGGATCAGCTCTTACGTCAATTATTTTCAAAGGCGTTGCTCAATAAAAAAAAAAAGTCAACACAGAAGTATATATTTTTATTTTTGTGAAGTGAATCTTTCCAGATTACAGCTGGCCTACAATATTGCAATCTTTCCGACATTTAGCTGAACAACCTCCTATAAGGAAATTTTATTCAAAAAGAAAGTTTAACAGGAAAAGCTTAAGGAAATATTTATATATAGCCAAATACTGATTAGTATTTTTCCTTAGTTTCACGGTGGAGGTAAAAGGAGAAAGTTCAGTTTTTAGCATTTCATCTGAATTTCATTATGAGACTTTACAGGCCACATGGTAGTGTTCTACTTTAGAAATAACAGGGTCAAAAGGCACATAAGAGTGACATTACAGAGATAGTACTTCTGGGTAATGAGTGAGAATTTAGATTCTTTATCTGCTCCAATTCTCAGTTCAGTAGTAAGATGCTTTCCAACCAGACTGACAGAAGAAATTTGTGCAGGACATCACATATAAAGTCTCCCAAATTCAAATGGGTCATTTGGTCCTCATGCATAATCAATACAACTGCTTTTCACCAGCCTTTGAAAAAGAGTTGTCATGTGTTAAGGCAAAAGTGCACTTCACACAGAGAAAGTAAACTGAGATTCCTTTCCTCACATCTGTTACCGTATGACACAGGTTGGGGCTTTTTATGATAGTTTTTTCTCAGATAGCCCTCGTAACGCATGTGTATATATGTTTGTATGTGTATCTCCACTCTCGATATGCACTCCACTCTCCATTAGTACGTATTTGCATCACCATATATATCTGCATAAACATCATGGGGGCACATTATACATCTATTCTTACTTGCCATCTCGCCATTAATGAAGTCAAATTAGTTTTTTTAAAGCAGCTTAGAAGGTCTGGTTTACTACTTCCTTTACTTTTATGTACCAGTTCAGAATACAGCGGAATACAAAAAGGAGGCAGTAAAAGATGTGATAGGAACATAGACAAACTCTTTATATGTCCTCACATGCAAAGCATAGTTTAGCGTCCTGATAACCTTGAACTTCACAACCCAAAGGAAGCAGTTAGGGAACAATTAAAAGAGCATTTTCTCTGACGAGTCCATTCACCAACATTTACTTGCTTACAGAATTTCTGGGGGAACAACTTTGAAAAAACACCTCTTATTCATTTATATAAAAATTAATTTTTATAATTATGTATTACCATGAGATCCAAATTAAACAAATTAAATCTTAATTGTTGCACTTTTACCTTTCAGACATGCAAACATGCTAAACGTATCAGAGGAAAGCAAAAAATATATAAAATGTGGAGTCCTATTTGTATACACTTTTTTTTTTTTTTTCCCTGAAATTTAGAGCCACTTAGTATTGTAAACTGTAAAACAATAAATTTATTGCTTGTGCATAACTGTACCAGCTGAAACAAAGAATAAAAAAACACAGTTTGAATATCTTCATACTCAGTTTTCTAAAGAGTATACTTTTCTATAAGCAAGGAAATCCATATGTTCCTATTCTTAAAAAAAACTTTCATATATCCTGGGAACAGAAAAAATACCCATTCTATCTTCAATGCTATTTTCTTAAACAGAGAGATCATTTTTCTTTTGAAAGCAAAAAAAACCCAAAACAAACCAAAACAAAAAATGATACAGCATAAACATAGAATTACACGTAATAGGCTGTCCTTTCTCGTTTGTGTAGCTAAGTATACATAATTTGTCTTTAATGTACCACAGTGTTGTTAATTATAACAAAACAAGTTGTGACTTCCTGGAAAAAAAGCAAAGCTATTCCTTTTTCATTAAAAGTTCCCATAATATAGAGCGTTGTGTTGTGTGTTAGTCCTTTGAGCCATCATTCACAACTGCATGTGATTTACTGTGATCAAAGTAAACATTTTAATTAAGACACTGACAAAGAACAGATTTACAATAAACTTAAAATGCATTTTCCATGCAGCAGTCAATGGAATTCTGTGATTTTAAAATTACTCTAATATCTGGACCAAAACACCTGCCTTTGGATGTTTTAGAAGAGTAACACTCACACTTCCTACCCTAAACTATAACATGTATACTACAAAAAAATATAATGTAATATTGATCCCTTAAAGTCTGAGCCAACAGCTTTTTTAATGAATAAAAGTCACTGCTGATTTGGCAGTGTAACAAGAAATGAAACTTTTCGTAGTATATCTCCTACTCAGGGCTCTAAATTGCACTTCCCATAAAACTGAATGTGAACTCCGTTTTGTTTTACATGGTATTCATGTTTCTATAGAATTAGAATAATAAAATTTTTGTTTGATTAAGCAGGCCTTTTAGTTAACTATTATCTTTAATTTTCTACTAAATTTAATGACACGTTGACACTAATCACCCTGATTCTTGTCCTGACTGCTATAGTCTGCAAATATGCTTATGAGCAAATGTGCAGCAATTCACATGAAATATTTGCAGACTATGACACTTCTCTATGTTCAAAATATGACCCTCCCCAACACCAAGGGAAAAAAATGGAAGGTTCATAAAGTTTCAGGTTTATTTCCTTCATTACGATTGATACAGAAAAAGATAATAAAAGAGAAATGGATTGTAGTAAAAAAAAAAAAAAAAAGAAAACTGTATATTGAGAGAAATCTGATAGAAAAATACCTGTACTAAACTAGGTTAAACATGTATTTGAATTCTGGCATTAAAAATATGCTTTGAAGTACAGAAGTAACATCAACACTTTAGTCATAAATATACTGTGTTGTGGAATATTTGTTACAAGCAACATTTCCTGTACACACAGGATCCTGAAAAGTCATTTGCAAAGTCTTTCCAGCTAATTATGTAAGTTATGTTATGTACCTCTTTCTTTTCCGTTGACTTGTATATAATATGGACCTATTTCTGAGCACACTAATTCTAATGCTCTGCATCGTGTAAGAAGGTGCAATTTAATTAAGTGACAATGAACCAATTATACTGATCAATGTTTTAGGGAAATTACTGACAAAATGTGTAGTATAGTAGCTTCATCCCTATCTTTTTACATGCACAAGCTTTGAATTGTCTCAAATTATTTTTACACTAAAACTACAGAATTAGGATGAATAAATTATATGATGTACAAAATCATAAAATGTTATACATTTTTCAAAATGTATACATTACAGTTA